CACATCCCTAGCTTGGTGGCGGCACAGCAGCATTTCGTAAAACCCACAGTCCCTCACCTGCAATCCCCAAATCCTCAGAGCTCTGAACACTGAAAGATTTTCTGTAAACCATGCGGTATCCGAACCTGCACGAACAACTATTACTAGGACTTGGTGTGCGTGGAACACGTTCCTCTCTAGAAACAGTCATGTGCTCCCTTCTCGGGAGGTCCCCAGGCCCCGTGGAGCTCTGCTATGTACAGTGTGGGCATCGTATTAACTTTAAAACCCCAGATTTGGGAATCTCTAAACATACCTGACTTCCAGTATCTGTGTGGTTCTTAGATAAGGATTTGTGGACCCGCCCTCGTTGGCTCCCTTTTCCTTCCCTTTTTCCAAACGTGACCCCCCTCTTTCCTTCCCTGGCTTTCACTGGCCAATGGGGAATAAAAGCTACCCTTGAACAGGCGTCCGGTCCTGTGTGTGTCGGCACCTGTTAGGCACCTTGTCTCTCAGTTTTCAGAACTCTTCTGATGCCTCTGCAAAGGATTTGTAACTAGTCTGATTTTAGATGAGGAATCTGAGACAGAAACGAAGGAACTCAGCCAAGGTCAGGAACTACCAAGGCCCAAGTAGGACTGCGCCCCAGGCTCTGAGTACACAGCTGCTGCTCCTTCTGCAGGCCAGGCTGGGATTGACTTGAAGAAATACTATTTCTTAGGGAGCACTTAGTATTCAGCCAAGACACGTCCCCTGTGTATTGAGAGGCAGTTAAGTGTAATGCAGTGGTTCTCAAGGTGCGATCCGGTAACCCCTGGGTGTCCAGGGACCCTTTCAAGGGGTTTGCCTAGTCAATGCTATGTTTATGACATCTAAGATGTAATCCGCCCTTGACACTCTCGTTCTCTCATTAAGTTACAGTGGAGTTTCCAGTATCCGTGACATGTGTCATACAATAGATTAAATACGGAAGCAGATATGACAATCCAGCTGTCTTCTGTGAAGCTGGATATGAAAGATAATTGCAAAAATGTCAAATCAATCCACTCTTCCCACTACAGGTATTTTTTTTTTTTAAGGGAATACAGGTTTGTTTGTTTGTTTTTTTCCATAAAAATATATTAATGTCAATGCAAAATTTTATTATTTTTAAGTGAATTAACACTTAAAAATTTTCTCAGTCTTAATTTCTAATACAGTAAGTAGTGATAGATGCAACCAACAAAAACAAAAGCTCTTCAGCGTCCTCGCTACTTTTAGAGCGGAAAGGGCTTCCGAGATCAAAAGATTCAGGAGCTCCCTGTGGACTAGTTGAGAATGCAGACTCTGGAGGTAACTACCTAGATCCACGCCCTGACACTGCCACTTATCAGCTCTGGAGCCTTCTGCTTGCCTCAGTTTCCCCACCTGGATAAATGGAACTAGTACCTACTTCGGAGTTGTTCTGAGAATGTTAGCAGATGCAATGTGCATGCAACAGTATCTGGCAATCTGGGGGATGAGGTATTTGTTTTTGCTCTTATAGTTACGGATTTTTACATAGTATATATTTTTGTGTTTATTTCCGGGAAAAATTCCCCCAAGTTTCAAGATGGATACAAAAATATACTATCAAATTATCCAAATATATTTCATTCACTCGAATTAAAAATAGCAAAGGCATCTTGGAAGAAGAGTCGTGCTTTAAACATAAATGTTACAGGAGTTTCCATTTACTGTTAATTTAATATTCTCTTCTGCTTTTGGCACTAAGCAGTATAAAACTCTCTTTGGAAAAAACTAAAACCCCTCACCTTTAGAAGCAGAGTCTGATTTTCCACACTGGTAGATGCCATTTTGGAGAATGGGGCATCCTAGGCAGGGCAACGTGCGTGAGACGCCTTATCCCAGGTGACAGTGGTACTTGAGGTTGGAGTACTGGCTGTTGTCATTAATAATAAAAGAAAAGGGAATAATACAACGAATGCCTCGAATTCAGGATTTAGAGGTCACGTCCAATGAAATCAACGTTACCGATTTAGGAAACAGATTTGATATAGTTAATATAGTTTTAATGCTATTCCTGTAATTTTAGATTTATACTAAATATAAGTGCAGTCTTTCCTCTAAAGAAATGCATCGTTTGCTCAGCAGTTAATATTAAAAGGTTTTTTGAAGGAGGTGAAATAGTTTGACTTTGCAGAGTACAGTGGCCAGCACGTGTGAGGAAAAACAGGTTTTCCTTGTCTGCCAATTGCTGCTGTATGCCACAGAGGAGTCATACCGCCCTGAGCACCCAGCTTCACCCATAAATCGCCAATAAATTACTACTCTAACATTAAAACGCTTGCAGCAGTATTAACAAGCTAACCATATCTTCCTAATCTCCATCAATTTTGGTGTCATCATGTACTGATTACGAATGACTCTAAATAGTGACGTGCATTCATCAAAGCACTTACGAATTTCTCTAGACAACCAGAAAGTATTTTGCAAAAATAGTCTGCACATTCACTTGGCAACACAGCTGGTCTCTTGCACATAAATTATTGTGAATTCCAAATTAATAATGTCCAACTCGACTCGAAATCTTAAAAGTGTTTAGAAATAACTAAGGTGGAGGAAAGCAGTTTAACAATTATGAATTCGCAAAGAACCCAAATTGGTGGGGGGCAAAACTCGTTCACATTCTAGGCAATAAAGGTGATATTTTCTTTCATGCGTGTAAGCAACATTCGTTATTCATGCGTGTACCGGGCATGTAACACTAATATAAACATTAGATTCCCTGTATTGCTAGATTTAGAACAAGACTCTTTCAGAGCTGCTGTAAATTTCATGGATTGGAGAAAATGTTTACAGCCCACTGAGTGTGCTCCTTAGGATGGCATGACGCCAAGGATACTGTTCCAGTGCATTACAAGATTAAGAATGTTGGACCGGAAATTGCTATCTCTGGCTTCCTTCTGTGTCTCCTTAAAAAAGTTACTGACCTTCCTTGAGTCTATTTCCTTATCTGTAGAATAGGAATGCTAACTACACCTCACGGCGGAGAGAAAAAGAGGGTGCACAAAAGCACCTTATACTTATTCACTAAAATAAATTCACAGCCCACAAGGCAGGAAGACTAGATTAAGCTTGTGTCCAGTCTGCAGAAAACGCAGCACAACCAGCGCAGCCGCCACGGGCTTCGGTGACATGCGAGGAGAGGGAACAGATCATGTTTGCTCACTTTTGACCTCACTCTTTAAATAAAACGGCTTTATTGAGATATAATTCACATACCATACAATTCTCCCATTTAAAGTGTGCAATTTATTGTCTTTTAGTATATGAGAGTTGTGCAACCATCACCACAATCAATTTTGATGTGCCTTGATGTCTCGAGCTAAAGACAGACATGTCAATTTGCCAGGGCCATGAGGTCTTGAGACTGCTCCCAGGAGAAAAGCTTCCACACGAGTCACGGGTGGCCAGCTGCAGCGGCCAACGCCCACTCGGTACTAAAGAACCTGGAACTCGTTACTCTGGTGTCCACTGTAAATGGAGACAACCAGCTGTCTGGGAGACGACAGGCAATGAGGGGGAATGGCCACAGGGATTGCATTACAAACTTGGATTTAGCAAAAAGAGTTAATTTGGGGTTATTTTGGATTCATTTTAGATTTAATCAAAAAGAAATGTGAAAAGTAAAAACTTGGAGAAAGAACAGCACTATGTCAACAATACTGTGAGGAAATTTAAAATGATCAAACATGAAGATAAGGGTACCAGCATTCCCTGGGGTTTAAGCTGTTTGACAGGTTCCGCCCACTTCTCCAGTGTGAGGCGTGTGATGCCAGGAAAAGAACATGTAGCTGTGCAATGACCGATATGGGGGGAGGACCGGTAGCATGTCACCATGTGGAAAGGGCCAGGAAGCCCCAGGGATCTACGGAAGGCAGTGTGGGAACAGTGTAGCAAGAGAAAGAACACTAGACACACATCCGAGGAGGGAATGCCCAGGAGATAAACTCCCAGGCACGTCCACACTTTCCTACACCACAAAGTCTCCCCCAAATAAGTACTTTCTCATTTTCTTGTCTTGTTCATGCAATTATTATTAAGGAAATGATGTTTAAATCTTTTCTTAACCCTCCCTTTCAAATAGAATTTTACTCCAGAAAGGCAGAGAAACAGAATTTTATAAAATCACGATGTGGATAGAAGTGAGACAGTGGGTTCAGAATCAGAACTAAGAAGGTATCTCCTGAAGCTGGGGAGAAGTAGGTAATTAAATGGAGGGAGCATTTAACAGGTCAGCAGCCACACTGTCCTCATTTGCACCCACAGGTAAAAATGCTCAGAATTAAAAGGATGCAAACGAGGGACACTCTAGTGCTGGGCTGTGTGGTGATGGCAGGTTGGAGACAAGCGGGTGTTGGCTCCTGGGAGAGGTAGGCACAGTGCGGGGGACACTCCACGGACGCCTCGCAGCAGTCAGAAGCAATGAAATAGGCTAATCGTGTAGAGTGGATGGAAAAGCGGAACTGACAAGAGCTACAGCATCATGCATGTTAAGTGTAAATTAAAAACATACCTCTCGCGAAGCACCACCTCATTTCCCAGGATACAGATTTAAAATGTGTCAAACACAAGAGGGCGGGCACTTGTGCAAGAAGAATGTTAGAAAACAGGATGAAGAAGCATAATGAAAGCCAGGGGGCCCTCCACTGTGGGTGACAGTGAACCTGTGCACAGAGGAAAGAGAATTAACTCGACTCCACACACAAAGTTTGAAGAAAAGACTTCTCTACAAATGAGGACCGGGGAACACCTGCCGAGGGCAAGCTGGTCTCCTGGCGGCCTTGACCCACTACTGGGGGATAAGCGCTCCGACCACAGCACGGGCCACCTGCTGCGGCAGCCGTGGTTCCCTCAGGGAGAACTTGGCACTTACCCGTGCCCAGGACGGAATGAGCGAGGGCTCCGCTTTCAGGTTTAACACCAACAACACGTGAGATAAACACCACCTCATTTTACAGACTGAAAAATCAAACAAGTCAGTTTTTCAAAGCCACAAAGGTAGCTCAATCACTTTAATCTTCATGTTTAGCTTCATTTCCAATATATCAGTGTTTCTTCTAAACCACCTAAGCTGAGAATCATTTCAGAGATTTCACCCCCAGGTAATTTGTTTCTAAAATGAGACGTAAACATTTTACATTTATTTCCTTCCGAAAATGACTGCTCACGTAAAGGCGGCACTGGAACCAGCCGAGTGCACAGCGCGGTCGTTCTGTGGGTTCCCGTTCAGAAATAAGGACCCCGACATGCTCTTTAACTCGCCTGCATTTACTGAATGTGCCCAGAGACTTTCGCCACCTCATGGGCCGTGACACATTCAAATGGGTGACATTCAATAGTCTCCTTATGTAGGTTCCAGTGCCATAACCTGCTAAGTTATTCTTCTGAAAGTGAAACTACGTTTGGGTTGCACAAGCCACTTCGTTTCCCACATCCTTCTGACACCCGTAAGTCAGGTAAAAGCTGAGGTAACAAAGACGCTGCCTCGCAGCCGTGCAAGTCCTGAGTCCGGCAGACACCGCTCACTTTGTGAAAACATGATCTTTAAACCCTGTCCAGAAATGACATCTGAAAGCCAGTGATTCTGCCTTTTATTATTATTCTGAACAGATGAAGTACAGGACGAAGCAGCAGCAAAAAGGCTCTGTCACGCCACGTGGCTTCCGCTGGTCCTCAGGCAAGGACACCTGTGCAGGAGACGGATGACGCAATCCACGGCAGACCCTCAGAACATCACTTGGGCCCTAAAGTGCATCTGCTTGGTGGCATTGTTCTTCAGGCCTGTCTTCAGCATCCATTTCGACTTCATCCTCTGGACATATTGCATGTCCCGCTGGCTCCTAGGAGCTGCTCCTGTGGTTGGAAGGAAGGCACAGGACGGGACAAAGGGCTGTTAATTGCGACCAGAGACAAGCCAATTTTTGCAAAGAACTTCAAACTTAGTTTGGGGTTTTTTATGTTTTTTAAAAAAATGCTAACTTGGGTCTCCACACAATGAGGCTCTCCATGGGTTTCTGTGCACCCTCAAATTGCATCCCAGAACTTCAACAGATAATTTTTCTCTGGGATGAACCTCTTTAGTTTTCATCACCTGGAAAGAGTCTACAAGCTCAACAAGTGACAGCCCATCGATCTAAGGGGACAGAGGAATGCAGAACTCCTGACAAAAGTAACATGAAGTCGGCGCCTCAAGGCTCACAGGCAGCCACAGTGAAAGCAACTAGGTGCCCATCAACACAGTGGCCCTGGAAATGGATGTCGGCTGTGCAGCTTTCCAGACTGTGAAAACAGCTCTCCCCTCACTGCCTCTGGGCTTCTAGTGCACAGACGCTTTCCCTGGAGAGCTAAGGACAGGGCTGCACACAGCAGACACCAGAATATGTTTAAATAATTTCACAGTGACGAGGTATCCGGAGTAACAACTTCAGTGGCCTGCTTTATTCCTCTGCCTCTTACTAAGTTTTCTATGTGAAAGTTACAAAAAGAAGTGCTAGCTAGCCTTGATTATGTGCATGCACTCTATCACACATGATTATGACATTCAAGCCGCACAACTCCATGAGGTAAATCCTATTATCATCCTCTCCATTTTAGAAATGAGGAAAAAGAGGCTTAGGCGAATTACAATATTCATGCCTACCATGTAAGAACCTACGAGTGTAATAGATAGGTCATGTTTGACCCCACAGCTCAAGCTATTTGCACAAGGATACTATTTAATTCTTCCGTGTAACCTCCTGGATTATTTCAGCCTTTAACCGTTATTAAATAATTATTTTGGTAACGACAACTTTTGGAAAAAGTTAATGATGCATATGCAGTTTTAGAAAGTTACTGTGACAGGAATATAAGGGTTGAAGTCACAGGGCTTTGGCCATACTGCCGTAAACACATCAGGTGGGAATGGAAGCCAAGAGCCGAGAGGTTAAGGTTCCCCTAGGGAGGATCCATGAGGTCAAGATAAATGGAAGCGACTTCATCCCAGCCCCCTGCTGTGAAGCGCATTCCTGGGCAGGTCTGCAGCCCTCCACACCGGTGTACCTGTGCTGCCGGTCCATCCCAGGGCCCTGTACTGCTGGAGTACTCGGCCCACGGCCTTCTGGTTCTTGGCAACCGTCACAGCTCTTGACAATCCAAAGCGCTGTTTGTAGTACCTCATCAGAGAGCGATGACCTACTCTGGCACCTGTTTTCAAAAGAGCAATATTTAAACATGGAGATGGATAGTTTCTCAAGGCAGAGATATAAAGCAAGGGCTTTCCAAATCGAGCTGGAAAATGGACATGCCAGAGGGAACAGTGCTCTATCTGCTGGAGAAAGATGAAGCAGCATATTAAAAAATGAAAGAAAGAAAACCAAAAGACAGATTTTTTTTTTTTTTAAAGTCACTGTTAAGTGAAAAACTCAGTATCTTGTACTTATATACAATATGCCTCCCTAGACGTGCGCATAGCAACACCTTCTAACACAGATAACAGGACCCTAAGAGGTAAAGGATTGGAACTTTTTTTAATAGAAAGAAGATTAAGCACAGAGAGCAGTTGTGACGTTTCGGCCTACGAGCCACAGTCTGGGCAGAGGTCGATCCACCTTTCCTTTGCTGGCGATGCTGCCCCCAGCAAAGTGCTCTGCAGCAGTGGTTCCCAAACGAGGGTTTATTTTACGCCGTGGACATCTGGCAATGCCTGGAGACATTTCTGGTTATTACAGCTAGATGGAGGCTGAGGTACGTAGCGGCCCGGAGTCACATGCTCTAATGCACCGGACGACCCTCCACATCAAAGAATCATCTGGCCCAAAATGTCAGTAGTACCTGGGTTGAGAACACTGCCCTATTGTTTTACACACACACATTTTATTAAAATTATTGGGGTGGTATTAGTTAATAAAATAAAAAAGGTTACAAGTATACAATTCAATAATACGTCATGTGTATACTGCATTGTGTGTTCATCACCCAAAGTTAAATTTCCTTCCTTCACCAGATACTTGACCCCCTTTACTCCTATC